TGTGCTAAGCTAAGAGTGTAGCTCTGTGTCCATCTCCACCCAAACTCAGAGAAGATGCATTCTCACGGAGGATACTATTTCGAACACAGAAGTGGCTTAACAAAAGTCAGCGTGCAAAATCGGAGCCCATAATGATACCGAGAGCTTGTTTTAGAGTGAAAATAGGACAGAACTTCCTAAAGCTATTTTAGTCATACCCTCCCGATAATAATGCATTGCGCTGGCTGACTTTATTTGAAAAAACATTTAATCCTTGTCACAGTGATCAACATTACATCTGATGTCTAGTCAAAACAGATGACATGTAAATTGCAGCCCTGTCAACATTTCACAAAGAGAAGGAAGTTAACTGGAATGGAGCAGAGAAAAGATTTTTTTTTTCTTTTTGACCTACTTGCCTTGCATTCCACCATTTTATGTGTATCCCTCATCTTCCTGCTGTCAGCGAAGCGAGAGAATCAGGCTGCCAGAAGAAATCACTGCAATGTCTCTGTCTAATTTTGAATGCAATTTTGCATACACAGGAACATTAATGTGTTTAGTTTAATAGTGGTTTGGGGTATGACCCAATCCCAAGAAAGAAACCAATATCTAATTTGGTTATAAATCACAGGTGGAAATGTGAAACTTGCTTAGGAATCCTGGCTTGTTTTTAATCCTGGCTTGCTGTTACCTGGATTTTCATATGCTATGTCATAATGTGATGTATTTTACGTACAAACAAGCCGTTGTAATGTAAAAATCAGGTTTCACATTGTGTCAACTTAATGACTGTGGCTATCCAAAAGGCAAGATTAAAACTGTGACTTGGCATGATGTATAAAGAAATTCATAATGTTCTCACTCTTTGCCTTGATACTGTTTAAGAAAAACAAACATAGAACTCAAAGTAGTTTATATATTTTCATAAATCGTTTAAAAACAAGTTTTTTTAAAAAAAAAATAAAGTTTTTTATTTTTCTAAACAAACACAGACAAAGCAACACATAAAAACATAAAACCATCTTTCAATTACATACAGTGTGTCGACTGGTTGCAATTCTTTTGTGCTACGTGTCCATCCTTCACAAGTCCCATAAATTCTCATATTTTCCAATTTATGTATCTATCTATCTATCTATCTATCTATCTATCTATCTATCTATCTATTATTATCATCATCATCATCATCATCATCATCATCATTATGGTTCTTTCATTTAACAATAACTATTTGTTCCACCACTTCATATAGGATATTCAACATTTTAAACCAAGATGTAATATAACTTCATCTAATAAAAAATACATTCTTATATCATTTTCTCTTAAATTCTATTATTTTTATATTGTAAAGTTATCTATAAAATTTCCACACTTTTTTCCCCCTAACCATTGATAAAATAAATCCCATATCTTATAATATTGTTTTTCTTCTTGTTCTCTAATTTCAAATGTCAATTTACTCATTTCAGCATATTCCACTATTTTCTTAATAACTTCCTCCTGTGTTGGTATTTTCTCATTTTCCCAATTCTTTGCAAATACAATTCTAGCTGCTGTTAGTACATTCACAATCAAATATATTAGTTCTCTACTGTATATCTCTGGTACAATACCCAATAAAAATATTTCTGGTTTAAAATCAATATGACTTTTTGTCATTTTTTCCAACCATGTGTGGATTGTAGTCTGATATTTTTTCGTCTCTGCACATGTCTACCACATGTGGTAAAGTGAGCCAGGTATCTTCTGACATTTCCAACATTTTTCGGATTTATTCTTAAACATTTTTGCTATTCTCATTGGGGGAAGATGCCACTTGTAAAACATCTTATACAAATTTTCTTTATATGCAGTTGACATTGTCATTTTATAATTTTGAGACCATAGTTTTTGCCATCTCTCTAGGTCAATCCCGTATCCAAAATTTCCCCCCCCATGCAATCATTGTTTCTTTAACTTGTTCTTCTTCTAATTTAACCTCTAATAAATATCCGTATAATTTCTTAATCACCTTTTCATCAGTACCTGTTAAAATTTTATCCAAAGCATTCAATTTATCATAAAAACCTTCTGTTTTGAGATCTTTACCATATCTAGAATGCATTTGCGCATATGAAAACCAATTCATCCTTATACCTCGTTGCTCCAGTTCTTGCAGATTTAAGTTCACCCTTTTCATTCATAATTTCGCCATATCTAACTGTTTGTTCCATTTTATATATCACTGGTGGAGTTCAAGTCCTGTCTTAGACATGAAAGCCAGCTGGGTGATTTTGGGCCAGTCATTCTCTACTCAGCCCAACTCATGTCACAGGGTTGTTGTTCTGTGGAAAATAGGAGGAGGGAAGTGTGTTACATATGTTCACTGCCTTGAATTATTTGTAAACATAATAAAGGTGGGATACAAATAAATAAATATAAATATTAAAAGCTGTATTAAGTATAATTTTATTTTCTTCATCCAGTTTATCACTGATATCAAACACTGTTTTAAGACTTGAATAATTTCTTAAATGGCAACCATTGGGAATTTATGCCACAGTGTGTACGTCCTAGGTATGTCATTTTGAAAAAGGGAAAAACTTAATATTCCAAGTTTTTAAAGTGAGGCCTATCCACCTTGGGAAAGCTGTTCTACACACTGTTATTGAGGAAAAATGCTAGAAATGAAAGCTCAGTTATCTGACATTACCACCCTTTTGAAAATTAAATGAAGAACAACTCAATAAATCTGAGTCCCAGCAATAGCACTTACAGTCCTAAGATTATTGATCCAGTTTAGTTCCAAATATGCTAGTCTGTGTGAGATGTGAATACAAAGACATCACAATAGTACCTCAAAGCCAGAGGTGGTATTCAGCAGGTTCTGCCCAGTTCTGGAGAACCGGTAGCGGAAATTTTGAGTAGTTCTGAGAACCGGCAAATACAACCTCTGACTGGAGATTTTACAGTATCCTTCCCCTGCCACACACACCAAGCCACGCCCACAGAACCGGTAGTAAAAAGACCTTGAATCCCACCACTGCTCAATGCCAGCTCCCCCCAACCTAGCATTGTGTAGATAAATTGCTCTAACAGTTCCTGGAATTCCCCTCCATAAAATAGTGGTTAAATTAGACCATAAATCATCTGATTACATGGAAGAGAGGAAAAATGACACTTTTATGGGGATACAATGACTGTTCCTGTTCCTCTTTTAAATTTTAAAAGGAACTGAATTATCTGGCAGATGAGGAAAGAAGCTGTCTTTAGTCCTACATTGTGAAATTGGCAATAGTATTCATTGAGGTTTCTGTGTATAAACTAATAGCTTGTCAGTCCAGAACCAAGATCAAGAAACTGAAGCAGCAGAGATTGTAAGAATGCCCTTTTTTCGTTGCAAAGTAGAAGAACTGAATCTAAAAAGTCTGCCAGAATTTCTCTCTGTCCTGTCTTCTAGCAAAGTCAATTAAGTCAGGGTTATTTTGAGTTTCTTTCTTATGCATTCCACTTTCTGAATCATCTTTTTTCCCTCATTTAATGTTTTCATTGCTCCCTTCCTCCTTCTCAAGGCTTTTTTTTTTCACATGGTAGCTTTCAGGAAGAGGATTTTTTTTCATTGGGAAACAAATGGAAAGAAGAAAAATAGAGTCATAGGGCTGGAAGGGACCTTGGAGGTCTTCTAGTCCAACCCCTGCCCAGGGCTGGAGTCCTTATTCCATCAACACCCACAACTCCAGAAGGCAAGTCGTTCAGTCCTCCCCCCTCTTGATACATCTTGATCTTTGTCCATATCTGTAGGCATTTTGTTTAGTTGTATTCCTATAATTAATGTATCTGGCAATAGGCACAGAAACTCTGTGAATCAGTTGACTGATGAAGAGATGCTTAACTAAACAGGAAAACCGAGGAGTGCATTTTTTGAATTATGATGAATAGGTCTGCTTATTTGTTTTGATATTGACACTGATTAATTGATTACTATTTTATCTTAAAGCAATGAAAGGTAGAATGGAATATGAATGAATAACTATTAATCCCCTAGTTTCCCAGAAAATTGATTCCTTAGCTTGCTGATGGCAGCCATATATGACAGGGCACTTAACTAGTATTTGGAGAGTCCGTGTATCTCTTTTAAGGATATTGAAATCAATAAATGAAAACATCTTTTCTCACAGAGATGAATATGGTAAATTACTCTGAGCCAGTAAATGCTCTGGGATCTTTTGCAGTGTTTATTAGAAAATGAACACAAATCTGATCTATGTGGGCAGCCTTTTCGATAGTTTTTCTAGGACTCTAAAGAGAAAGATATCACATCTTTGTTAATTTTCAAAGCAATTTCTTACTTGTAAATTGCTAAGTGTAAATTGTTTGTTAACAGACAGAAAGCTTTTCTAAATTGATCATTAGTCAAGAGCACCCAACATGGTAACTCAGTCTCTGTGGAGATGAATTGCTTACAGTTTTGTCCTTTGTACAAACAGTCCACTGTCCTAGACTTGCTTAAAGAATGTGAATTGTTGTTTGTAAATTAACACATTACATTAATATGTTTTAATACCCAAACGATCAGCTTATTTAGCATGTGATAAAATGCTTTGATTAAAAATATATAAACAACACATGGGACCAGTACAGCCTCTGATTTCACAAATGAAATGGTTCAGTATTACTTTCTTAATTGGACCTTTCCACTCAACAGTGGAATCGGTGTAAAATATTTTCTATTTTCTAGATTCTTCCAAAATGCAGACTAACCTATATCTCAGAGTTTTCTCCCTACAAATAACATCTGTAAATTAAATATGTGCCAATGAGTTGAAGAATATATATTAAGTTTTTTTTATATCCTTAGTAACATCATTTGTGAAACAGAAGTTGGCTGTCCATGCTTGACAGGTATGTAATGTGTAATAACTTTGTGATCTTTGTGAACATGTTGATTTCTATTTTGTTTTAAGGAGAAACATAATTTGAGAAAAAATATGCATCCTTGAGTTTGTTCTCATATATCATTCTTTTGCTTCTCCCAGACCAAGATGAGAGAGCTGCCGAACTTAGTAGAGAGCAAAATGAGAAAACTATTCGCAGTACCCAGACAGCTCTCAGAAACTTCAGAGAGTTTCTCATCTCTAAGTATCCTTCAGAAACCAGAGAGATCTACATTATTCCTTGCAAAGAATTAGATGCTTACCTAGCATCCTTTTTTGTTGATGCTCGGCAGAAGGATGGTTCAGAATATGAGCCAAACAGCTTGGCCAACTACCAGTGTGGGCTGGAGCGGTATCTCAAAGAGCATCGATACGGATACAGCATCACCCGAGACAAGGAATTCAAGAGGTCTCAAGAAGCACTGAAGCAGAAGCAGATGGAACTGAGGTGCAAAGGAAAAGGCAACAAGCCCCACAAATCAATGAAGCTTACTTTTGCCGATGAGCTGATTCTCCGCAAAAGAGGCCTGCTAAGCCGATATAATCCTGAGGGTTTGCTGAATCTTGTCTGGCTCAACAACACAAAGGCCTTTGGCCATTGTACTGGCTTCCATGGGTCGACTCTCAAATGGGGGGACATTAGACTTCGGGTGACAGAGACCGGCTTAGAATACTTGGAATGGATGGGCCAAGATGGCAGTGACGGGAATGCCAAGATTAAGAGGACAGGCACAGATTCCAGAGTGTACGCAACTCAGCACGCACCGCAGACTTGCCCCGTGCAAGATTACAAGGAATACGCGCAAAGGCGACCCCCCGCGATGCGGTACGAGGATGCCCCTTTCTACTTATCCATTAAGCCAGTTGTTAATCTAGCTGCGTTACACTGGTACAATTGTCAGGCCCTAGGTAAGAACAAACTAGCCAAGATGGTCAAGACTATGTGTGAGAAAGGGAATATTCCTGGGAGGAAGACCAACTTCAGTGTGTACCAGAGCTGCAGCACCCTCTCGGAAGCCCAGAGTAACCAGCTGGTGCTTATCTGCAACAACCTAAGCCAACAGGCGGCTCAGTCTGTAGCAAGCCATTCTAGCACTGGCAACTTCATAATGTCTGCATCTTATGACTCTTCTTCAGATACAACTTGAAAGGACGCTCAGCGACTCAGAGACCATGAGGTGCTTGAAACTTTGATGTTCGGTAACATGCATTGTCTGTGATTCTACAATTCTCATCAGAATCCCCTTTCTCCAGTGTCAAATCCCGTTATCGAAACATTTATATATACATACATATCTAAATATATATTTTTCTTTTTATGAATATGTGAATAGAAATAGCGTAGCCTAATTTATATAGTATTTCTTAATGCTGATGGTGAAAAAAGAGGCATATTTATGGGGTGCTAATTTAATGGCTGATTATAAAACTGGAAAATTATTTTCAGGCCATCCCTAATTTTAGCATTACCCACATTTTAAACTTTAAGTCAGTGTGAAATTTGATTAACTGTCACTTCTTTCCGAAGCAAGATGCAAATTATAATGTAAGACAATCTTGACCATTCTTTATTTAAAAGCCCATATGACCAAATAGATATGGAGATAATTTAAAGTTGATATGTTCGGTGAAGTTCTTTGAAGGCATCATGAATAAGGGCAAATGTTTGGAATTGCCTGTATACCATTCAGCAAAGCTTTCATTGTTTTTGAAAAGTGCCCCATCTTCATTTTGAAAAGTAGAATCATCCTCAAATTCTCAAGCCTTTTACAAGTGTGGCATAAATTTGGTATGTGAGAGAATGAAGGCAGGAATATTTTTCTACTTTGTTTAGTTCTTTTTGTAGTTCAGCTAGATTTTTTTTAAAAAAAATTGTGTTGATGAGGCTATGGAGAAGGAAAAGAATAAAAAAAGGATTGCTATTTATTGCAGTGTTTTCTGTTTACGGTTTAGGTCCCTAAATGTCAGTTATGGCAGCTAAGGAAAAAAAAAAACTATTTTCTAACAAAATAGTTGTTTAAAAATAAAAGTACTATTAATATGCAAAAGAAATATCATGGCAAAAAGGAAGTGTTAATTCTGGAAGGCTTGTCTTTTAGTACTTTCTGTCTAGCTGCTTCATTTCCGTGGGTTTTAAACATGTTTTTGAACATTGGACTACATTTTAATTTGCTGCATTGAATAACTACAATCCAAAATAGACTGGCTGATTTAAAATTGCTTAACTCTACTGGATTGTGACCCCTCCACAATGATGGAGCTCCACAATTGGGATAGCTACACAATTAATTAGCAATAACTGCAACACCCATACTCCATGAGTACATTGTGTAATTGTGGATTGCATGGCAAGGTAGCTGTGCAGGAGAATGGGTAAGAAATTGCAGACCAGCTGTTTCAATGCTCTCTAACTCAAAGGAAGGAAAAACCTGGAAGATCAATAGTTGCACTAATGGGCATGGACTGCAAAAATCCAGATGATTACTAGATGGCAGCAAAAAGAAAAATTAGAATAGATGCATCTTCGATGCAAAATAAAAGAAACAGCTTGTCTATGCCTTTTTTTTTCTTTCAAAAAGAAGGCTATAGAAATACCCCTACATTGTCAGGGTTCCACAGTGGGTCACCGTGATACATTTCTTGATAGAGGCAAGAGAAAAGCACTTACTGATTTGTTTATAAAAATATGGACTTGTGCTATAATCGTATCAGAGAATTGGGGCAATACTTTAAAGCCAAGGAGCAGGTAAAGCTCTTGTAGATTTCCTCTCAACCCATCCATTTTGGGCATTAAAGTAGAAGAAGAGTTGCGGATATTATTAAACACTTGATTAGTGGGTTGCTGGGAAGTGGCATTTGCTGTCCATTTTATGCAATAAAATATGTTAAACAGGTCCTGGGGACAAGTGAATGTCATCTGTTCACTCTTCATAAGAGAATCATGTAGTTAAATTCAAAGCGTTGCTTTAGCTTATAAAAACTGGGAGGATGTGTCTTGTTCTGTCTATGAATTTTCTTTCACGGTGATAAACAAATCTTATTTCAAATTATGCATTCCTAATTTCTGCTAGCATTTATCTGACAAGAAATGAATCTTCCTGTAGCAGCTCCTTCCTTGCATACTAACCTTCCCTTTCCTCTCCTGTAAAGTAATTACTTATTCACAGCAATTTGTACTTGTCTTCAGCCAGAAAGGCATCTAAAGTGACTTACATATTATTAATTTTAAAATGGCATCATCCCCATTAAATTACATAAATCAGACAAAAGTGATGGGAATAAAAGAAAAGGAGCTAACTTAGCTTCGGATCTCTTGAAGTTAGCTGGAGAAGATGGAGCCATTCCAGCAGCTGTGCCACAAGTTTGATTCTGTCAAGTTTTTCTTCTCCCTGAATTGTTTTCATTCCTGTTGACCATTGTAGTTTAATGGTCATGCTTGCTGATGATTGAATAACTAGCCAGAATGAAAAGTACATGGAAGGAAGAGGAAGCTGATGGAATTGGTCTGGAATGGTACAGATAGAATGGCTCTTTAAATAATTTAGGAGCCAATTGCTAAATGCCAAAATAACGACTTCATGAGGTTGGTAGTGTCATGGTTTAAAGATGGTTTTCTGTCTCAATTCCTGGATGACTTGCCATTATTGAAGGAAGCATGAATTCTGCTTTCTATCACTGAAAAATATAAGTGTATCTCTCCACTGTCTGAAGCACATCAACATTTTCCTGTAAGATAACGATCCTAAACATATCAGAATCTCTTCAAGAGAATGGATGAAGAAAAAAATAAATCAGAATTTTGGAAATGGCCCCTGAGTGAGGCAGGTTTAAACCATCTTTTGTTATATTGCAGTTAATCTCCCTCTCTATTCCAGCAAAGTCCAAGGAGAATTTAGCTACATAACATAGGCTGGGTTGTGGTGGTTTTTACTTTGGAAGGAAGTCAGGTGAGTATGACTGGAAACAGATGCAACTGGACCTGCAAATTTCACATTGGTATAATTTTTTTTTGACAAGATGGCTGGGTAGCACTTCAACTCATCAATGGAGGAAGAACTCGTGATTGTACATTTTGGTCAGTTGTCCTTTAAAATGTGAGTCTCATATTTCTTAATGGCCCTCTATCCCTTAAGATAGGGGTGTCAAACACAATTTCATTGATGGCTGCATCAGGGCTGTGGTTGATTTCGGGGGTGGGGGGTGGCCAACTGCGTGGGGTGGCCAACTGGCATAGCCAGCTTGACGCCACTCCCCAAACTGCTGGCATATTTCCTCTTCACACTGGGTAGACTGGGCCAAAACGATGTGGGCCAGCCCCTTACATTTTCCAGGACAGCCCTGTTGGCCAGGGGTAGGATTCAAATTTTTTTACTACCGGTTCTGAGCGTGGCTTGGTGGGCGTGGCAAGGGAAGGATACTGTAAAATCTCCATTCCCTCCCCACTCCAGGGGAAGGTTACTGCAAAATCCTATTCCCTCCCCACCTCACTAACCTGCGTTCCAGCTCCGTTCTCCTGTGCAGGGCAACAAAAGAAGACCCAGCCGATCAGCTGGGACTCGGGAGGCACAGAATAGATGGGGTTGGGGCCAGTCAGAGGTAGGATTGGCCGGTTCTTCAAACTTCTCAAAATTTCTGCTACCGGTTCTCCAGAACTGGTCAGAACCTGCTGAATACCACCTCTGGATGCAGTAGTAAATTGTGAGGTTGCATGACTGCCCTGATCGATGACACAGTTCTGGCACTTCTAGTTGCAGCCCTAGGCAAACCCCTGCAGTGTGACATCACATGCACATTCACAACTTCCTGCTGGCTTCCCGATTGACTTCACTTGTCAGAAGCTGATAATGAAAGTCATAAATCATGATCACGTGACTGCAGGACACTGTGGCCATCGTAATTGCAATATGGTTGCCAAGTGTCCAAATTGTGTCTGCAAGGACACAGTGGATGGACACAAGTTCAAGGACCAGTTGTAAGTCTCTTCCTCGAGCACTGTCGTAAATTTAAATGGTTGCTGAATGAATAGCTATTAACTGAGGATTACCTGTACTAGCTAAAAGAGTATTAGTTAAAATGTCCGTGAACATTTTTTCTAGTTTTTTTGTTTTTAAAAATCAGGCACAAGATAGAATCAAACCATTCTAAACTGTTTACAATCTACCAATAGGGACCAGACAGTGAGAAAGTAACCTTGCTTAAAACTTGCTAGCCAATTACTAACTCCTGAGCTAGTGAGCACCCTCTTTCCTTTTCCTATAATTGTTCCCACATGCCTTGCTGACAAGTGTAATTGCTTATAGCCTTGTTCACTTGTGGCACCACTTTATGTATTACTTAACATTGAGGTTAATTGAAGGATGTTGGCAAGATTGACAAATGGCAGTATTTCTACTGAATCTGGTAGATAAAAGCAAATGAACATATGCAGCTTTACTCTGATCAGTACCTGAAATAACTTAGAAATTCACAAATGGAAAATCTTGAATCTGTTTTTATGCATTTCAGTATTGTATTGCTGGCCTTAGAAAATCATCAGAAGAGGAGATATTGCACAACATAAGAGCAAACATTTATTATCTAGTAACATCTATACATCCAACTGCTAGAGAAAGGGCACAGCTTTCAGGAAAGTTGAAAAGCCTGCAAACCTATTAACATTTTTCTAAGTGCTCTATTTAACATTACTTAGAAGTGGCCTATGTAAAATTGTGATGATGAAAACATCTAGCCATGAAAGTATAAAGGGTACAATATCTTTTATGGGCTGCAGAAGTCCAGAAAACCACTAGATGGCAGGAAAGAAATACTCAAAAGTTTAGAAGAGAGCTAGTGTCATCTTCCAGCCATCAAGTAGATCTTTTTTTAAGTGGCTTCCTTTATAGAAATCTGTAGAACCTCTCTAGATGTTCATCTATGAACAGTATGTTGGATCCTTCTGCTTTGTGCACAGCCAAACTTTTAGGAAATAAGCATAGTTTTTAATTACAGATTAATTTTGCATCAGACAATACAAATGCTCCTTTAATATATTAGTTTTCTAAAACTGAGTTAATACATTGTATTGTTGTATTTTCTTATCCAAGGACAGGCAGCTAGTTGTTTAGGGAACAAATCTACGTACCAAAGCCATTTATCTATTTGTGACCATACCAAAATTCAATCAAGGGTATTAGATCCCCCCCCCATATTTCTATTCATGTTAACAGAAAAACGTCTGATTATAAAAAGTATTCTACATGGATATTAATTTACTTTGGGTAAATAAAGTATTATCCCAGCTCTGCCTAAATAAATTATTTCAAAGCAATTTATGGAGACAATGTAAGGGCATTTTTAACTGTATGGATCACTGGAAAACATGTGAGCATTAAAAACATAGGGGTTGGTTAGTCCAGTTCTTCCTAGTAGTTCTCTGCGCTAAAGATATCTTCAACATTTAAAAAAAACCCAGTGATATTTTGAGAGAAGGGAATATTAACAATAACAATTCTATGCATTGTGTAATCCAGTGGTGTTCCTTTTAAATATGCATGCTTTATAGGTGCATTTGTGATATTTATAGGATGGATCATTAACCATTGCTGCTATACACATCCATTGTAGCTTTAGTGGAGGAGGGTGGATAGGAATAGTGTTGTTGACCGGAAGGTTGTGCAAGTCAACAGTTCCACAAAATATTATTTAATGTCTATATGAGTGCCTCTTTAGAAGGAAAATAATATGTTATATTAGACACAGTGCCAAACTTTTAAATTGTGCTGCCCAACACATGCAGTCGAAGAACATGAAGTGTGTATAATTACTATTCTGGGCACAAATGCTTATTTTTCCTACAAATAATTGAAGTAGCACTTTTGCAGTACAATCTTATGTATATTTACCATGTCACTCTAACCTTCCTATAAAATGGAACAGATATTAAAAAGAATAGAAGAATTTCTTGTGCTATGGCAGATGCTTGGGTTTATGAAGAGAAAAGGTCTACTAATCTAGATGTTCTATCAGTGATGTACTCTTGATATGTCAAGAAACTATAGCAACATCCTTTTTTGGCTGCAGCATGGTGGAGATGGGTGATCAGTGTGGAGAAGAATCTTTTAGAATAAAAGAATAAAGAATAATCTTTGAGAATTTTATTATTTATCCTGTGTACCCTAGTCTGTCTGGTTGCTCCACCCCATAGTTAATGGTGGAAGAAAAGAGTAAGAGAGAAAAAGAGGAATCTCTACTCCCTACCTCTTTAAACAGTAAAGTGGCAGATGGTTAATCTGTTGGTGGTTTGAGTCAATCATGCAAAGTTAGCTTTACATTCATAGCCTATTTCATTTTACAGAACCTAGAAAATAAATGGTAAGTATTTAATTTGGAGGAAAGTGCTATAGAGAATGTTTAGCTCCTCACAAAAATACAATTTTAATGGAATCTTAAACAGGAGATACTCCCAATAGTGCACTTTGCAATAATAGTTCCTAACGTTATTGCAAAACAATTTTCTCAACATATTATTATGGGGTACTTTTATGCTAGGGATCTATAGCACCATGGGCCAAGAATGCTGTTTTGTCAAACCAAATTGCTATGATCAAGCTCACTGTTTGGGACCCTGCAGAGATACATACTGTATTGTCATTTAGAACAAACTAAACTGAGTAGGATGGACAATGGCAGACTTGTTAGAAGACGGGGAGATTTAGAAGTACTTAACAGCTTCAGAATTAGAACATTGCTCGTGAAGAATAGTAAGCTTAGTGGATTTTGCTGCCATTTGTGTTTGGTTCATCCTATGGAAAATCAAAGGAGAACACGGACACATACACACACACACACACACACACACACACAGGGAGGGAGGGAGGGGGATATATATATGTATATGTATATACACACACACACACACACACACACACACACACACAGAGAGAGAGAGAGAGAGAGAGAGAGAGAGAAAGTAATTACTCAATACAGGGTTAAACAAAAGAACCTCATGAAATGAGACTCTTTGTTGATATAGGTGGCCATTTTTATATTGTTACAAGTATAACACAGAACGTTTGGGACAACATCATATTTATTGGGAATTACCAGGTGTTTACTGGCAGTTACCAGGTGTAAATGTTATAATTAATCACATTTGGGTTATTAAGACCTTTCTCAAGTTTGCGGGCTCCAGATTTTTGGGACTTTAATCTTCCCATCAGAAGAATATTAAGCTGGGAAGATTGCGTTTTAACCCACTAGCCTACTGTGGGAAGTTGGGATTTAATTATAGCTCCCTAATGTGAATATAGCACATATGCTAAAAAAAAAAGTATGTACAGTATAGCCACTCACAAGTTCCTTTGTTAATTTCCTACTGCTAAATGAATTGGGGTCATTAGATTGGGACTGAATGGCAATTTGCTAGTCTTGCAAAAAAGAAAAGCACCAGGACTGGAAGTAGCAACAAAATGAGATCTTCATCACACGCTAAAGAAAATGTTTGCCATTCCACTAGCTTTGGGGGATT